ATCACTTTTCCGCTTATTCTGTTTGCATCGCAGTTCATCTGTTTTAGTGATTCACTTATAGGCTTAGATTTTGTCGGTCGCACATCAGTCTGTACTGCGTTTCCTGCACTTCATTCATGCGTTCCCTTCTACACTTCATTCATGTGTTTCCTTCTGCACTTCTTCATTCTATAAAATGATTAACAAGGGCTAGGACTAAGGGAGAGAGTTGCTGACAGCTGGATCAAAATTATGTGTTGTATGCGGTAGAACCTCAAAAGTAAACTTGCGGTGAAGACAACCATATTTTGGGTATCCACTGTCACGCAACCACCACTCTTTCGGCAGCAAGCTTCGGCATTTTTTACAGTTTGCTGATGTTTCATTTTAGGCTACGGGTTTAATGGTAGAGTCTCCCTCTAGGTATTTTTGCAGCTCTGGTCCGTTTTAGTCCCAGAAAATGATTAGTGCTGCTTCTCTTGCAGAGAGCTGAGTCTTAAATTTCTTCATTGATTTGAATTCGGGATATTTCCTCTTCGCACAAAGCAGTTTGGATTGTGACTCAAAAGGGCCTCATTTGCATGGTGGCGAATTGCTGCCGATTAAAAAACCGAAATGTTCTTGACTGAAATAAATGATCTGTGGAAGAACTGCGCGAAGTATTTTGAGCGGTGTCTGAATACAGGTCGCGAGCAATGGTTCAGCGCCAGCACCGAAAAACAATCGCCTGCTTCTACGTCGACGCGGGGAAATTGTTGGTGAGCGGACAGGACGAGGCTTGCTGCGCGTTTACACTTGTCGATGGTGTCCTTATCAAACACGGCTATGTGCCGAACTTCATGTTCATTACAAGTTAGTAGTAATTCGGATTTTGCTTACAGTTATAACTGCAATCGCTTCCATGCACATCCAAATGTTTGTAGAAATTTTTTTGCGAAATGCTCCAAATAGACAAGATATATCATGAATATGCGTTTAAGTCCTGGGCTGAAAATGATCAAGTCTGGGAAACAAATAGATAGTAACAAATAAAAGTAAACTAAGAGGAATACGCATACAGAAGTAGCAATAGAAATATGAATTGGGGAAAATCAAAAATTTGAATATTTTACTGTTATATGCAGTCCAGGATTGGAGAGCCTAGCATAGTCGCACCTGAGGTACAGGAGCATCCCAGTAACATCACTAACATGGAACAGTCACACTTATAACCCGGGGTGATCTTTGTGTTCTTAATTTTGTTAAGTTGAAAGTTGAAAAAGTTGAAAAAAAAAGAAAAAAGTTGAAAAAAAAGAAAAAGATTGTTAAGTTGAAAAGAGAAAAGATTGAAAAGATTTTGAAAAGTTGAAAAGAAAAAAGCTTCAGTCTGTTTGTTGGATAAAAGCGAGAGTTTTATCGAACGCATGTAGAATCAGCAGAAGTCAGGTTTGTTTCGGTGGCACCAGGGACCGATAACATGGAGGTAGCGCAGCGCGATCTCCTGATCTTCTCCGGCTTACTAGTTTGAGGGCTGTGGATCAGAATAAAACATTCCACTGTGCATAAAGGGTATTAAAGTATGCAGAAAGTAGCAACTCTGGCCGATTTTTGTTCATTCGCTTATTTTCCTGGATAATACCGTGACTTCAAATGCTGCGCTAGACTAACCGACTACTGAGTTTTTTTTTTTTTTGTAGGAGTCACGTTGAAAATGGCAGTTTGTGCTGCAGTAATTGCTCATTCAAAACATCTATTGAGTCGAAATTGCGAGAACACATGGAACTACATGGGGAAAAATCTCCAGTATCAGCTTCTGCTTTAAAAAGAGAAAAACAAGAGAAAACCTCAGGCAGCGAATACACTTGCCAGTGAGTTCTACGTCGGTCTTTGGATGCAGTAGTAATTAGAATATTACAAAAAAATTCTGATGTTGAAGGATTTTGTATGAAATGATCGGCCGAATATTGACCTCATTAACCTCATTAACTCCTCAATGTTGCTCAAATTAAAGGAAGGCTGGGCACCTGTTTTAGCACTGAATTCACTACATGCTTATCCGTTTAATAATCCTCCTGGCGAATTTAGCGTGGTAGTAGTAAATTGAAGATTGATACTTCGATTTCACAGAGGAAAAAAAATCTCTAAGCCAATTCGTTTTGGTAGTAAATTGATGCTGTCTATATCAAGGAGATAAACCCGCCATTGGCTTTCTTCTAAACAGGGAGTGATTGATAGTCTTGCCAGCGAGTGATTGCTGATAGCATTTGCTACCACGCAGACTGTTCCCAAGTTTTTGAGTTTGACAGTATCCAGTACATTTTGGAAACCTCGTTTTTATGCGTTTTGTGCTGTGTAACAGCAGTACAAAACGCATATTGTTACGGGGTTGTCT